AAGGGGAGGTGCTTAGCCTTACTGCAGCTTGATATGCCATGCTTTGTTGATAGCCATGAAAGGCCTGCCCCTTTCTGAACAAACAGAGGAGTGGATTAGGAGGGGATGGGAGGAGAGGAGGGAGGGGAAACTTGCAGTCAGGATATAAAATAAATAAATAATTTTTAAAAAGACTTCAAATGAAGGCCCCTAATTGAGACTCGGCTGTTTCTGATGCTGGTGCCGCTGCAGGAAGGCACCCTCATCTGTGGTCAATGGTGATAGGGGATCCAGGGTTCCAGCATTCACCTGTCGCTCTTCACCTGAGGCTCACAGACTGTGCCCTCCAAGCAGGAAATGGGCAAGGAAAAAAAAAAAAAAAAAAAACCTAGGTCAGGGCCTGAGCACAAGCCACCTCTGAAGGAGCTCATCGAAATGCGAACACCAAAGAGACCCGGGACACAAAGTTAATAAGGATGCTGCCAAGACCTGGAGACTTGTAGTTCGCAGCCACAGGAGAAAGGCAAGGTGCAGACACTGGAGGAAAAGGCAAGTGTGTCTCAGAAGTCCCCGGGAAGAGTTTTGTAAAGCGGGTGTACCTGATTGGCCAGATGCACCTCACCAGGGAAGGATAGACGGACGGACTGCTTTGCCGGGCCTGCAAGCACACAAGCATAATCGCGCTGATTGGTTCCATCTGGGGCCACAGCAGCAGTACCTTCTGATCCACGCGGTAGCCACGCCCTCTCCACGCCATTCCTATCCCTTCAAGCACTGAGCAACCTCCAGGCTCAGTCCTACCGGTGGTCTCGCCCTGCCCCTCTCTCTGACCCAGCAGAAGCATCTCGAGGTCCTGCCCCACTCAGTAGCCCTTCAGTTTGCTTTGAGTGAACATGGAGCATTTAGGAGGTTAGTCCTACTCACGATGCATTCCATGCAGTTAAACAGAATAGACTATAAACCAAATGCTGTGAGTATACACAAACTAAAGCGTATCCACCCAGTGCTTAAACAAGCAGCTCAGAGTAAGCAAATGAACCACTGTCTTCTCCCACCTCTCCTGTTGGAAAGCTTCCCAACTTTCAATGTCTCCTACCAGCGCAGAACTCTGCCTTGCGGCAGGTAGAGCAGCTTTCCTGGGTCCCAGGCATAAACAGAGACTGCGATTTCATCTCCTGGCCACCCAGACCCAAATAATCATACAAAACTTTATTAATTACAACACTGTTTGGCCAAATGGCTCAGGCGTATTCCTAGTTAGCTCTTATATCTTTTTTGTTTTGTTTTCTGTTTTCCAAGACAGGGTTTCTAACTCTTACATTTTAAATTAACCCATTTCTATTAATCTGCGTATTGCCATGAGGCTGTGGCTTACCAGTTAGGTTCTGGACATCCTCCTTCGGCAGCTACATGACATGCTTCTTTAGGCCTGCATTCAGTTTAGCTTTCCTGCTTAGCCCTAATTTGTCCTGCCATAAGCCAAAGCAGCTTCTTTATTAACCAATGGTAATAAAACATATTCACAGCATGCAGAGGAGAATCCCACATCACCCAGGCCCTCATCCCCATGGGCACACTTGCCCTCTCTAGATTAGGCTAACTCCCACTTAACTGCTGAGCTCCTTCCTTGGTGGCATTGTTTCATGGGCTCTTGTTTTGGTGGCCCCTTTTGATCTCTGGCCCTGTGAGGACTTCCTGGCATTAAGGGACCCCCAACAGCTTCTCATGATGACCACACCCTTGGCTGACCTGGAGGCAGCTGTAGGCATGACCAGTGCTGGGGATGCTTAGATTCCAGCACAACCCCAATTAAACTGTCATCAGGAGAAGCTGGATGTGGGATATATAATCCCAGCACTCGTATGGTGAGAAGGGAGCAAAATGGACAGAAGATTTGCCTGCAGGTTTTCAGATCAGTTAGCCTGGAGTATAAACCACAATGGTGTAAACAAGAAAGAGACTGCTTCAGTAAAGTGGATGGCCAGAACTGACTCCAAAAGGTGTCTTCTGACCTCTATATGTACCCATATAGACACAAGAGTGCATACACATACACACATTTCAAGACAATAAAAGGTTTAATATCAGGAATACATAATGATTACAATGTAAAGTCATCTAGCAACGATAAAAACATAAATTAAACAAAATCTGAAAATTGAAGAAAATAGACAATTCAAATGGAAATTTAAACCTTGTGTAAAATATTCTAATCAAGGGAAAGGGGAGGCAGCGGTGAGGAAGGGACAGAAATCTTTAATAAATAAATAAATTTAAAAAAATATTCTAATCACTCTCAGTAAATGATAGAAACTCTGGGCATCAAACCAGAAAGGCTCTAAAAGACCCTTTACACAATTACCCTGACAGGTGTTAACACCGACTCTGTGTTTTCAAGAACACAAGAAACATTTTCCAGATCAGACTAAACACTAAGCCATAAGGCAAATCTTCATATATAAAATAGATTTTACTTAAAGTATGATTTTAATAGAAATGTAACTAAATAAGAAACCAGCAACACAGCTCCTTCAGAAATATGGGGGGGGAGGGATATGGAAAGTCAGCATTGTATTTCTTAATAATTCCTGGGATATACTAGAAATTTTAAGGAAACAATTGTCAATACATTTTGAGATGAATTAAAAAGGAAACATTGGATATCAAAGTGCCCACTATTGACCGAAAAATGTATCACTTTAAACACATACCATTTTCCCCCAGACACAGCGTCTCAATGTACTCCTTCACCAGCTAGTCAGGGACCTGCTGTGTTCTAGAATGAGGCTTACCATGCAGAGTCAACATAGAATTTTTTCCCTAGAGCTCATTGAAATCAGAGAAGCTGGACTGTAATTAATAACTTGCTTATGATTATGTCATACAAAATTTTGAAGAATTTGGTGAAAATATAACATGTTAACATAAATAAAAGTATTCCAAAACTATTTCAAATTATAGACACAAATCCTCATGTGTTAATATTTAAGATATTAACAACCTATCTTTTAAAATTAGTAATGTACAAACCAAGCAATCTGGTTAGGCTTAGCGATGGATAGCAATGTCCCCTGAACTCATTTATGTCCAATGCAATCCAGCAGCAAAATGGCCTAACGTTAGACTGTACAACATTGCTCTTTTTTCCCTCTGCTTTGGCAAAGACTTCACATAGTCACCTCTACAGTTGCTGAGTTTTAGTTTGAATTCTTATTGTATATATTCATTGTACAGGGTTCGGGTTGCATAAGACATTTTCACGTGAGTATATATTTTGCAGTGAGGAAAATTTTCCCATAACACCTTACCCTCTTTCCCCAGTTCCAATTCTTGCTAGTTTTATGTTCCTCTATGTAGTTTCTTTCATGCAATATATACATACATGTTTTTCTATCTAGATAAAGCATGTGAGTCACAGATGGGAGAAATGTATGACGCTTTTGTACTTGAACTTTCTGAGACTGCTCTGTTTCACTTAATAGTATTATTTTCATTTGCATCTATTTTCCGGCAAAGGTCATAACTTCATTCTTTATGACTGGAAAATTCCATTGTGTACACACACTACATTTTCTTTATCCATTCCTTTGTAGACGGACACCCTGATTGGTGCCATAGCTAATGTGCTGCCATAGGCACTGTATCGCCGGGATGTGCCACCACTAGCAGACAAGTCACATGCTACGTCTATTCGTATTACTTTGAAGTGGTTGGAATACTTTACATCCCACCAATCATATACAAAGCTTTTCTTTTGTCTACATCCTCAACAGAACTGTTTTGGAATTTTTTTCATAATGGTTGTCATTATGACTAGGGTGAGATGGAATGTCTAAGTACTTTTAATTTGCATTTCTCTGGTGGTGAAATGAGCCTAGAGTGATGGATAGAGTGTGTAGTTTTACGTCAGCTCAGCATAAGCCAGAAGAATCTTAGAAGTGGGAACCGTAATTGAGGGTTTTTCTCCATCAGTCTGGTCTGTAGACAGGTCAGTGGGAGCATTTTCTTGATTAATGATTAGATTAGGGTAGGAGCACCTACCCACTTGAGCGGTGCCATCCCTGGGCAGGTGGACTAGGTTGTATAAGAAAGCAGGCTAAGCTAGCTGCAGAGAGCAAGCCAATAAGCAGCATTCCTCCATGACTTCTGCTTCAGTTTCTGCCTCCAGGTTCCTGCCTTGAGTTCCTGCCATGGCTTCCCTGGATGATGGACTAACCAGTAAGCAAAATTAAGCCTTTCTTCCCAATCTTGATTTATCACAGCAATAGCAAACAACTAAGACATGGGGTATTTATTGATTTTTTTTTTGAGAGAGAGAGAGAGCATCTCACATGGTCAACTCTTTTATCTACAATTTTTAAGGCTGGACAGGATGGTGTTGCCATTTAGACACAACATGAAGCCTCAATGTATATTTAATATCAAGGTAGACGGGCAGTAAACTGTTGTCTTGACATTTCTTGTACACCTATTTCTTTGAGTTACAGATTGATCCATCATTTTTTCTGGAATCAAATAGTCTAATAAACAATAAATTGAGCTACCAAATGCTCATTCTGTGCCAGACACCCTTCTAGGCAAAGGAGATCTAGCAGGGAATATACAGTCAAGGAGCTGTTCCAGAGGGAAACCTACTCTAAAGAGAAGATTGAACTCAGGAGGCAGAGGAAGAGGCAACCTAAATTTAAAATAATACCATCTACCAGATGTTGGCAAGCCTGTGGGACCTAGTATTAACTGATAATTAATGTGGAAGGGCCCAGATCACTGTGTGCAGTGCTATCCCTGGACTAGTGGTCCTGGGTACTATAAGAAAGCAGGCTGAGCAAGACATGAGGAGAAAATCAGCAAACAGCCTTCTCCTATGTCCTCTGCATCAGCTTCTCTGCATCAGGCTTCTGCTTCCAGGTTCTTGCCTTATGTTCCTGTCCTAATTTCCCTGGATGATGGAGTCAGAGCTGTAAGAAAGCAAAAACAAACAACAACAACAACAACAAAAAAAAACCTCTTTCTTTCCCAAGTTGGTTTTAGTCTTTGTATTTTATTACAGGAAAAGGAATCCTGCTTACGACAAACTATAAGAGCTTGTAACATGGACGACAGTGAAAAACTGATGACAAAAAGAAGCCAGAGACCAAAGAATACATAATGATTGCTTGGAGGGCTACAGAGTATATATAGGCATTATAACGCAATGTTGTTTACTAATACTATATGTGTGTGTGTGTGTTGGTGCTTAATTCTCTACCTATGGGTCCTACACAGCCCATACGTAGAACCTGATAATATTGGCTTGTTCTTTGGCTTATTACTTTTGGCATAATGCATTCATTTTTGCATAATGTATCCACACTGAACCTACATTAGGACTTCATTCCTATATGACTGCATACTTTTCATCCTTGTACATAGAGCCTTAGGCCTTTGTTTTCAACCATTTATTATACAGGAGTGGTTTTAGTATCTGTAGTTTTTAGTTACTAAAGCAGCTGTTTTACATATTCCTATCAGCAATGTGCAAAGGCTCCATTTTTTCCATGTTCTTACTAATCTTCTTTTCTTTTTTATTCTAGTGACTGTGAAGTTGTATTTCACAATGATGTTGATTTTTTTTCTAGTGAGTGACAATAATAAGCATAAAGTGGTGACTGGCCATTTGTATGTCTTCTTGGAGAAAGGCCTACTAAGGTTCTTCACTGATTTTTATTTTTTGAGATTATAATTGTATTTTTCTTCCTTCTTTTCCCCTTCATTTTTAAGTTGCATCATTCACCTTTCGGCTGTTGAGTTTTCGTTCTATTAGCCATACAATGTGCCGGTATTTCTCTAGGTTTTCTTTTCATTCTCTTGAGCATCTTTTGATGCGTAAAAGTTTTTAATTTTGAAGAAGCCCAGTTGTCTGTTTGTGTTGTTGTTGTCCTAGCTAGGGCTTGCCTGCCAAATCCAAGGTTATGAAGGTTTACCTAACATGTGATTCCTTAAGAGTTTTATGATTTAGCTCAAATATTTGGATTATTGATCCATTTTGAGTGAAAAGCCATGGGTGTGTGCTGGCAGGTGATCCTATCTAAAATGGGTGAAATGTTAGAAATTTTCTTTGGATGGTCTATTCTTGGGTAGTGCCTGGGACCCATAGACAGACCCATCGACAGACCCATGGGAGTGTATGTACACTCCACAAGGAAAACTCGACTTGCAGTGTAATCTACTGACCTTTTGCTCTAAACTAGCATGCTACTAATATTCTGTATTTACCCTTCACCCTGATTTCAATGAACATAAGATCATAGCCCAGGAGATTAACTGTTTATGCCTTTACCTCTAAAGATATAGGAAAAAGGGTGGCTAAACTAGTCCTAAAGAGATTCCATCTCACCTGGGTGCCAGGAGGTACCCTGCTGGAGTTACAAGGAAATACAAATCAAACACTTTCACCCATGGGTTGCTTTGGTTACCAAAGCTGTATTCCCAGTTGCGGGGGAAGAAAACAGAAACAGCACTGCTGTGTTTTTCTACAATTATTAATCATAAACTTCTAGCTTAATTAGTTACATTTAAGAAATGTAGTTAGCGCATGAAAACATCTTCTTAAAATTTTGTAGTGATTTAAAGTCCCATTCTTAATTAATCCTCCTGGCATTTCCAGGGGAGTTTCACAGCCATGCCTCCTCCTCCGAGAGGCCTCCTTTACCTTCTTTTGTGATTCTGTGAGATATATGCTTGTTACTATTCTTATTGCCTATGGAATCGCTAACTTGTCTGTATGTGTATAAAAACTGAAAACCTCGTGGGGAAGAACCCTTCTTCTTCCTTGCCCAAGGAATAAAAATATAAGCAGAGGAAACATGTTTGAGTCATCTTGTTCTGCCCCTCATATCCCCCTTCTCAGCCAGTTTTTGCTTGCTGTAGATGTCCTCTTCTGAACCCTAAGGGAATGCCGAGACTGGTACTCAGTAACTCCGGTTACTGCTCAAATTTGCTTAGTCTAAGCAAGGGGAAATGCAGGCAATTATGCTTTCATGGTCATATTTCTGATATTTGGAGTGGCTTATGATGTTAGACCCTAAGCTAACCTGTAAGTCCCACCTGCCCAAGGACCAGGTAACTTCCTGGAATTCTGGGAGTTGTAGCTCTTGGAAAATAACAACAACCCTCATGAGAAAGTATGGTGGCCTATGGGTTTTATACTTCTAAGCCAGACAACATATGCCTTGGGGCCACTTATCTGGAAAGTTTCTGACCAAATTCCCTCTTGGTTGGTGTATGGTCAAAACAACCAACACCCCTATATCCAAAGATTCTGGGATGATTGGAACCGTCACCCCAGTCCCTGGCATTCATTCTGGGATATTTGGTCATAAATGTCACCTCAGTTCCTTGTCACACCCCTATATCCAAAGAGTCTGGAACGAAATATTAAGCTAGGGGCACCACTCCAGCTCTCTAACACTCCTATATCCAAGAAGTCTGGGATGATTGGAAGCCCCGGGCCTGGCAGTCGCCCTGGCTTGGACTCCAACTCCCAGCCTGCCAAGCGCTGACCCCGCCCCAGGGAGGGTCAGGACCATTCCCCCAGGCTATTTAGGCTTGTGGTGAAAAGAACAAAGAGTGTGTGCTATCTCTGTCTTTCTTAGAGAGGGGTGGTTTTTTTTTTTTAAGATCTGTGTTCATTTTCTATTTTTGTGTGATGTTGTTGGGTCTTTGTCTAGTTTTGGTATTGGGGTAATAGTGGCTTTGAAAAAAACAATTTGGAAATGTTCCTTCAGTTTCTATTTTGCAGATTTATTTGAAGAGCATTAACATCAATTCTTCTTTGAAGGTCTGGTTGAATTTTATGTTGAATCCATTTAGTCCAGGGTTTTTGGATTGGGAGATTTTTAATTACAGCTTTTATTTCACTAGGGAATATAGATCTGTTTAAATTGCTTATCTGATCTTGATTTAAACTTTGGGAGATTGTATGTATCAAGAAATTCATCCATTTCTTAAAGCTTTGTCAATTTAGTGGAATACAGATTTATTAATTATATGCTTATTATTTCTCTGAATTTCCTCTGTGCCTGTTGTAATCTCCCACTTTGGGTCTTCTCTCAGTCATTTAATTTGATAAAGGATTTGTTGTTGACTTTCTCAAAGAAACAGAATCAACTCCTCATTAATTTTTTTGGGGGGGTGTTGTTGTTTGCTTCTATTTCATTAATTTCAGTCCTGAATTTATTTCTTGCCTTTCACTCTTTTGGAGTATTATTCTTTTTGTTCTAGAGCTTTCAGGCATGTCACTAAGTTATAATATGGTGTGGGCACTTAGTGTTATGAACTTGACTCTTAGAACTACTTTATTGTATCTCATCGCTTTGGGCATGCTGTGTTTTCATTTTTATTCAATTCTAAAAGGTTGTTAATTTCCTTCTTGATTTGAATCCTAACTCACTTTTCCTTTGATAGTGAGTTATTCAGTTTCCACATATCCATGTAATTCTTTCTGCTGTTTTTGTTGTTGTGGATATTCAGCTTTAATCCATGATGCATCCAGAAAGGATGCAAAGCATTATTTTGATTTTCATTTATTATTTGATTTTTTGCATTGTGTCCCAGTATGTGGTCAGTTTTGAAGGAAGTTCCATGAGCTGCTGAGAAGTATGTTCTTTAGTGTTTGAGTGGAATGTTTTGTAGACATCTGTGAGGTCCTTCTGATTTATGGTATTATTTATCTCAAGCATTTCTATTTAGTTTTTGTCTGGATGGCCTGTCTAGTAGTAGGGGTGGGGTACTGAAGTCACCTACTATCACTTGTGAGGGTCAACATGTGATTTTAGCTGTAATAATGCTTCTTTCATGAACTTGGGTCTCCTTGTGTTTCACACATAAATGTTTAGAATTGCAATATCCTCCTGTTGGATTTTTCTTTGATGATTATGTAGTATCCTTCCCCATCTCTTCTGATTAGTTTTGGTTTGGTCTATTTTGTCAGATATTAAAATGGTTACACCTACTTGCCTTTTTGGGGTTCATTTGCTTGGAATACCTTTTCCATCCTTTTACTCTAAGGTAATGTCTATCATTGATAGTGAGATGTGTTTCTTGGATACAACAGAAGGATGGATTCTGTTTTCTAATTCAATCTCTTAGTCTTTATCTCTATATTGGGGAATTGAGATAATTAATATAGAGAGTTATTCATGAGTAGTGTTTATTGATTCCTATTATTTTGTTGTTATAGTGTACCCCATCCCCATTTTTTACTTACTGTTTTGGGATTATTTATTCCTTTTGTCTTCTTGGTGTATGTAGTTAACCTCTTCAGACTGAAGTTTTTCTTCTAGCGCTTCTGTAGAGCTGGATTGGTAGATTATTTAAATTTGGTTTTCTCTTGGGAAGTTTTCTATCTTCATTTTTTGTAATTGATAGGTTTTTTTAGGGGGTGGTATAATACTCTGGGCTGGCATCCATGATCTCTCAGAGTTTGTGGAACATACATTCAAGTCTTTCTAGCTTTCAGAGTCTCCATTGAAAAGTCAGCTGTTATTCTAATGGTCCTGTCTTTATATGTTACTTGGAGATCTTCTTCTATAGCTTTTAATATCCTTTCTTTCTTGTGTAAATTTAGTGTGTTGATTATTATGTGTTGTGGGTAATTTATTTTCTGGTCCTGTCTATTTGGTATTTTGTATTCTTCTTGCACCTTGATCAGCACCTCCTTCATTAGACTGGGAATTTTTTCTTCCATATTAGCAAATATTTTCTATGCCTTTGACCTGGGTTTCTTCTCCTTCCTCTACACCTATTATTCATAGACTTTGTCTTTTCATAGAGTCCCAGGGTTTCTGGATATTTTGTGCCTGGGTTTTAGTCACATTTGCTTTGACTGAGCTATTTATTTATTCTACCTTGTTTGCAAGACCTGAAATTCTCTCTTCCACATCTTTTAATCTGTTGGTGAGATTTACCTCTGACATTTTTGTTTGACATCCAGGACTTTTCATTTTCAGTTTTATTTCAAATTGCATTTTTTTTAGTGATTCTATTTCTATTTTCATGTCTTAAAGTGTTTTATCATTTCACTCAACTGTTCACTTGTGCTTTCATGGTCTTCATTACAGCATTATTCATATCCCCTTTAAGGTCCTTGAATATATTCATAATTGCTATTTTGAAGTCATTGTCTGATTATTCAACTAAATTGTATTTCTCGGGGCCTATTACAATACGGCTACTGACTTCTGGTGGAGGAATATTGTCTTGACTATTCCTATTTAGGTTTTTGTGCTATAATCTAGTATCTGGAGTTATGTTTGTCCTTTCTAGTGCAGGGAAAACCTTATATAAAGCTGCAAACCCACCAGCTCCAGCAGAAGCGCTGGTGTGGCAGTGCTGAAGTAACCTTTAAGGGGACAACCACAGAGGTTTCTCAGTGATGTGTAGTCTTCCTAGGAGCTTTACTGCTCTCCTGTCTCTGCACTCAGACACTCACATGTTTAACCAATTAAGGTTCAGTTCAGAGGTGGGAACCACACAGGTTCTGCTGTCAGGCTCATCTTCCATGCTACTGCCAAGTCCTCTCTCACTGCTGCTCCTGTTTCTTTCAGAAGATGCACGGATGAGCTGGGGTCATCACTTTAAAAAAAGACGTAGTTTCTAAGTCCCAAAAAATGTTGATTGGGAACAGTTTCCAGTTAGTACACTCACAATTCAGTAGCATTTCATCGTAAGAAGAAAGTGAGCTGACTTATTTAGAAGACCAACAAAGCCCCTGGGTATTCTTAGAAAGGGAACTGTTTCACTGTAACCAAAACCAAGACAAACCTGCTGAAGATTAAAAGTCACATGCCAGCTTGAAATCTGGCAGCTTAATGTCTGTCTCAAACTTCCCCCTGTCGCATTTGGGTGATGGTGCTGTTTAGTGTCACCGGAGCAAATGAAAGATGTCAACATCACACTACTTTGTGCTTTTAGCTGCTTTCATAAGGTCCAGCACCATTCTGCCAATGATACATCATTATCTCCCTGTCTGGCTTCTCAGAGATAAGAACAGTGAGCTTTCCCTCGACCAAGCCAGCTCCAGACAGCACACGCAGCAGCTTTTAACTGAGAAGGCTCACGGATTTGGATCAATTTTAGACTCCCCCAAGGAAGCCAGCATGTCGTCACTCTTAAAGAGCCTGGATTTATACTAAAAAGAATAATTTTATCCTATAAGAAGAAAAATGTAAAATGAAAAAAAAACTTGAATACTTAATATACAAACTTTGCTTTGGCTAAGTAATAGTGTCAGTGTAGGTTACTGCATTTAAGGGCACAGCCTATGGTTCTAGTGAATGACATGAAAGCCGTGCACAGAGAGAACAGCCCTTCAGCCTTGTGTGATACCAGTACATAAAACACAGGGCTACCCAGGTTACCACATCGAGAAATTTACTTGCTCAGCAGAAGTTAGCTTAGGAGACAGTTAAGTACCAAACCTCAATCTCTTTGGGGATTCTCAGAACTTCCCATTGGATCTGTGATTCTCAGCTGTGCTGCACACTCAGGACAATCATATCTGGGGGAGGGGGGTCCAGAAGCATCAGTCTTTGTTTCCAGGAGGCCTCAAATGTGCAGCAGGCTGCAGGCCACACGGCAGGTCTTCCAGAGGCTGCTGCATGAAAGCACACGGACAGTTCTGCTGCTTCCAAGTGCCAGGAGCAAAGGGTCTTTTTAGAAAAGGACACAGTTGTGCTTCCTCTAAAGACACAGGTTGCCGTTTGGAGTGCCGACTACCAGAGGTTATCTGGAGTATTGGTTGTAAAGAAGAAAGTCTTTGTCGTGGCAGAGCAGGCAGAGTTTCAGGCTTCGGCAGCTACCCCCAGCAACAAAAAATGCCCAGATGCCCATGAGCACCATGATTATGTATGCTGACACCAGATTTACTCCATAATGAGGACTGAGGAAGGTCTGCAAAGGAAAAATAGATCAGCCTGGGTAAAAACACAGCCTTTAAAACCTGTGGAACAAACAGAGATACTGGAAAATACACAACCTTTCAAAAGCTGGACAGCATCTCATAAATATGGGCTGACTGTCACGTGTTAAAGCCTCAGGAAGGCACAGCAGACACTGGTCTGTGACTTGCACTTTGCTCAACTCAAATGACAACCAGCTGACTGGAATTGGTTATAGAGAAGTGAGAAGACACAGAGGAAAAAAGGGCAAGGTTTGACATTTCGTTTTGATTTCAGGACCAGTGAAGAGGCATGTCTCTTCCTGGGTCTATTGCCAAAAAGAAATGTCAACTGGTTTGCTTCTTGACTTCTCTTATCTAAGGTTTTTTTTTGTTGTTGTTGTTGTTGGTGGTGGTGGTGTTTTTTGTTTGTTTGTTTTTGGTGGGTTGAGGGGTGAAAGTGAAAACCTGCTAGCTCAGAGAGGTTGAGTAACAACTAGTTGACTTTCTCTCAGAGAGAGTCCATCTGCTACAACAAAATAAAAAGCCCATGCCACACAAAGTCCCTCCCTACTCCTTTCTGTGCATCTCTCTATCGTCTTACAGACACCCTCTGACTCTCTATGATTACTTTCTGTCAACTAGTTGCTAACTCTGCTTCCTGGCCCAAAGTTGATTTTATTTAATTATTCCACATGCAAGCTCAGGGTTCACAGTGTGATCAAATAGCCCACAACACACTGACTCACACAAATACACATAAATTAAAATAAAATAAACTTAAAGACTGCCAAAATAAACAAAAAACAATATCATTAGATTTGGAAAAGTAAGAGTTTGGAAGGGTGGTTTAAGCAGAAGCCAGACTGGACTAGAAGTCTGAGGGATAAAGTAGAAGAGACAGGACCAGTGAGATGGCTCAGTGGATAAAGGTTCTTGTTGTCAAGCTGGATAATATCAATTTGACTCTCTGGAACCACATGGTGGAAGAGCAGACCAAGTTGTCCTCTGACTTCCACACCATGCACACACACCTGTACATGCACGCACACATACACACACTAATAAATACATACATACAAATAATGATTTCCTTTAAAAGGTAGAGACAGAATTTGTGGAGACTATACTTTGAGAGTTGTGGTGTTATGAAGCAAAAAATGTTGTAGGAGGGGGGAAAGTTGTATCAGCGAGTTTTGTGTAAGATGTGTCTCAGTGTACAAAAAGGGACAGACTGGTCCTAGACGATGGTGGCACAACTAAAGGTGGGAAGTACTGGGGGAGGATAGATTAGGGTCACAGCCTAAACAGAGTAGCCTTAACCTAGGAGCCAGATTTTGTCTCTGATGGGCCAGAGTTAGATTTAGAGCCTAAGTTCCCACCTAGCCCCAGCTTTATCCTAACAAAGGAGAAGATCTGACTGTGGCAATTGTTTACCAGATGATTTTAAAATACGTGTTCTGGGATTCACTAAGTAACCCCTCTCATCTCCACGCAACCTGTACATGCTAAGGCACTGAACTTGACTTATCAACCCTGGGCAGGGAAGTGGGTTCATTTTGCAGGTAGCACCTCATACAGGAAGAATGCTACATTCTAGAGGCATCTGTAGGTATGGCAGGTGTTGAGAAGTTTATGAATTCTTTTCTCAAATAATTCTAAGGTCAATCCCATAAAATTTTCATTTATATTTCAGAGCCATCGATGAAGTCTTTTGCATTTTCTTCAGTTTATTTCCTTTAGAACAAGTTTCTCTTTTAAGCTATCACAAATTTTTTTTATAACTTTATTATAAAATACATGTAAAAGTTACATAAAATCTTAAAATTTTATAACTTTATATAAAATTATATATAATTTATAGAAATTTATTATAGAAAATGAGAACATACAAATGAGAAAACTAATTTTTAAGACTTAAAGCTTAGATTATTTAGTCATCAGAACATAAAAAATAATAAACCCCAATTAATTAGGTAATATAAAATGGGAAATTGGGACTGGGGATGTAACTCATGGTAAACTTGCCAGTGTGCATGTGGAAGCCCCAGAACTATAAACAAATCACCTCCAAAAACAATGTATGAGCTGGATGTGGCAGCTGAGACAGGAGGATTGCCATAAATGAGGCTGTTGAGAGCTCGAGAGTGAGCTAGTTTGGACTATAGAATGAGACTATCTAAAGAACAAAACAAATAAATATGCTGTAGAAGCTATTTGTAATACATACACCCAACTAAAGCTTCTTTTATAAAAAAAAATAAAAAGAATTTCTAAAAATTTAAAGACAGTTGGAGGTAGGTAAAATATTTGAATAACAGCTTGAAAAAGAATTCTCCAACTGACAACAGACATATGAAGATGTGTTTATTATCAAGGGAATGAAAGTTTGAAGTTTACTGTTCATCTACTATATTCCTGGAAAGATAAGAAAGTTATAACAAGTGTTGGCAAGGACATAGAGGAGCTGAAGCTCATGAATAAATGGTTAGTGTTTAAGTCACCATAACCATGCTGAAAACTGAGTGATCCCACCAGCTGACGTTGTGATTCCTCCAGCCCAGCCAGAGTGCTTCTGGGCTTGTATCCAAGAGAACGTGCACACGTCTTTGCTGAAGGACATATGTGTAAACACTTAGAGCCATACTCTTCACAACAGTTAAACACTAGAGCACTAAGGCTATGACTCAGTGGGTAAAGTGCTTTGGGTGCAGCAGATGTGCTGCAAGCCTTTAATCCAGGCACTGGGGAGACAGAAGTACATGGATCTCCGTGAGTTTGAGGCCAGCCAAGGCTCTGCAGTGAAAGCATGTCTTTAAAAAAATGACAGGCACACGCCTTTAATCCCAGCACTTGGGAGGCAGAGGCAGGCGGATCTCTGTGAGTTTGAGACCAGCCTGGTCTACAAGAGCTAGTTCCAGGACAGGCTCCAAAACCACAGAGAAACCCTGTCTCGAAAAACAAACAAACAAACAAACAAAAAAAAAGACAGGTAGATCCCATGTGTGCTTGGCTCCCAGGACACTCAGCTCTCCGGGTGCCCTAATTTCCTACTTTCAGTTACTCTTCGTGCTTCTTTGCTGACTGCTCCTTTTTAGTCTAATCTCAAGGATGGAGTGTCATGGGCCTCTGTTTACCCACAATTTTTGAGCCACCTTTTCTCAACCGAACTCCTCCCCAAAGCTACCCCTTTCCATCCAACTCTTATCTGACCTCTACCCTGGATGTTAACAGAGCACCTTCTAAGTAATGGACCCGAATAGAACCACACCTCTCAAGCCCTCAAATTCAGCTAATGGCACTACTATCCTTTTGGTTGTCCAGGCCAAAAACATTAACCAAATCCTCGGCGCCTCTTCTTCCTCTCATCTGCCTCATCCACTCTGTGGAAACATTGATGGTTCTACTTCTGATACGTATTTCCTTTGTCTGGCTATTTCTAGTTCTTCACTGCTCTTTCTCCATATCCTCCTTGCCTTTCCCTTAATGAGGTGACCTCTCCTAGCCAGTTTACTCTTAGTGTAGTAGTTAGAGAAATTCTTTCCATATGTATGTCAATTATCCTTCATCTTCCCCTCCACTCCGTATTTTAAGACCAGAATCTCACTCTGTAGTCCAAGCCCAACTAGGCAGACAAATACAAGCTTGGCTTTACACAGATGCCATCATGATAAAGGCAACTTTAGCAGCCACAAGTACTGCAAGGTTTAACCATGTAAATAAGAGGCAAACAGACTGAATGTTAGCCGGATTAGAGGACAAGAAACCCAGTGGATAAAATATGATAGGAATTCTAAATAGACAGGGAGGAGAGAAACAGGAGCAAGGTTCCATCAGCAGAGAACGTTTTCTTTTTAACTTTCTATTTATTCTTTGTCTTTCACATCATGCATCCCCATCCCGCTCATTTTCCCATCCTTTCATATCTGCCCTCTACCCTTGCAAACCATCCCCCGAAAATAGAATACAATTTAAGAGAAAAAAGGAAAAAAGAAAAGTAAAAGTCTCTCCATGGAAGTTGTAGTGTGATACAGTGTCTCACGCAGGAAACCCTTTGTCCATATATATTTACTTGCAGTGTTCATTGCCAAGAGTCAAGGTCTGGTTCCAGGTCTCTGGTTTCTGCTATACTATCTATGCAGCACCCTCACTGGGACTCCTCTTGGCTATTCTGTTGCTGCCCTCTGTTGTGGAGAGCCTACAGCTTTGGGTCTGCAGGATCAACCCCTTCAGGTTCTACTGAAGATTATGGATGGGGTAGATGTTAGTGTGGTCCAACTCATAACCCTGGTTCTGGGCCTGGGTAGTTATAGGGTTGGTTGGTTTGCTAGCCCCCAATCCCCATGTCCTCACTATCAGGTGAGCTCTCTAGTGTGCCCTGGCTAGTTCGCCCTTTCCAGCAATTAACAAGGGGCAAGGCCAGTTCTCCTGCTTTCAGATCCTAAGGGTCAGCTCTCCCACACCTGGACCATCAGGGCCAGATCTACCTTGTTGCCCAGGTGAGGTGCAGGGGTCATTCTCCTGAGAGCTGCAGCTGGTGAGGGGCAGGGACAGCTCTCCCACGTGCTTCAGGCATTGAGGGGTTGTGGGGAAAGGGTGTCTCTTCCCTGCCCATGCCACCATATGACAGATGAATGTTGGGGCCAAATCTCTCATGCTCAGATTCTCAGGCTGGCTTACGGGTGCCCCTTGAGAATATCGTCAGCTCCACTGTGCTGCCCAGACAAGGTACAGGGCCTGCTTTCCTGAGTGTTGCAGCTGGTAAAGGGGAGGGTCAGTCCTTACCAGCTAGAGGCAGTAGGGAAGAGGCAGGACATCTTTCCCTCATTCCCACCACCATGGAGCCGCAAACAAGAGAGGTGGTACCAGCAATGCCCCTCTCACATGCTCAGGTCTGGCTCACCCACGCCCCTGTCTACAGAATCAACTCAGTAGAGACCTTTTTTAAAAAGTCATTTATTATGATTTGTGTGCGTATGTAACACACATGCCAAGGTGCAGTTGTAGAGATCAGAGGACAATTTTTAGAAGCTAGTTTAGTTCTTCTGTCCTTCTCCAATAGCTCTGTAGCTCAAACTCAGGTCATCAGACTTGCCTAGCTTTACCTGTTATCCATCTCCCTGGACTAGGAGAAACTTTTTCAGAATTTCACATAAAATGCACAAAGGGTCTAGACAGGGCCATGGCAGGGTCATTTTGATAATGTCATGTATATAAATGACCAATGACCATGCAGATCCAAGTCCTTACACACTGCTTGCTGTGAAAAGAAATCTGACAACTGTTTTAAGCTTTACTTTGCAGACTAGTGCTGTTATAATGTCAGTAAGGGACTGAAACCAGCACATCTGCTGCTGGTCAGAATGTGTGAAGTGTTGTCACTTTACAGAGCCCGTTTTAGCAATTTGTATCAAGGACTCAAAATATTCACACCAATTGACTTCACAGTTCCCTGCCTCAAAACCTAAACACATGGAGAAAGTTCCATGCACATAAATAGTCAAGAAAGCTTCACAACAGCCAAAAAACAACAAATGGGAAATGATGAACCAAGATAATCAAATTAAAATAATTTCCACCTAAAGATTTAAACGTAAAATGTGTGTCTTAAAGGAGTTTATAATGATGGAAAATTGCTTCAGATATACTTCTTCACATGAGCGTGATGCAGACTATCTTAGGCTTGGCCATACATCCACTAAAGGACAGACGTGAGGAAAATCTCTAGTGAAAGATTCCAGCACTTGGGAATCCCCCTCCCCCCAAATTAGCAGAGACTGTCATTCTCCTAAAACTCACATGACCCACTGTCCACTTCCAGGGCTGTTCTGACTTGCCCTCATTTTCCCACGAGCATGTCCTTCATTTGGGTGGAATTCACCACTCAGACCCACTTGAGCTCTGCAAGCACTGAGAACACAGAGACAACACTCACCTGGGTGGACACCAGCAGGTGAGTCAGGAGAACTGTAAGGAGTATGTACCACTTTTTCTTCTCACAGCCATCAAAAAACACAATGCCCCAGAACACATGCAGCAATATGATAACCAGTGTCATGAAAGCTGAAAAGACAAGTCAGCAATTAGCAGCCAGTCCTGCAGACAACAGACATCAAAGCCGGCTGAACCCCATCACTGTGCACCGGTTCTGAGGGTCCCCTGGCTGCAGTGATGGAGTCTGACCACAGTGCACAGAACTGGCTTGATAAGAACTCCATGCTAACTCTGGAGAAGTTATATTTTCTCCATATCTTTGTAGAAGTTATTCTTCTGGAATATGAACCTGTTGGACAAAAAGTCAACTTGGGTTTGGCTTTCAAGGAGTTTCCCTGAGGTATGCAATGATATTAGTATGAAATCTATGTATTTGTTTAAAACATATTTATTTTTATATGTATAGACAATTTGCATGCATATATGTCTGTGTGACACATGTATGCCTAATGTCTGAACAGGTCTGAAGAAGGTATCAGATCTCCTGGGACTGACATTATAAATAGTTATGACTGCCTGCAGTTGCTGGAAATTGAACCCAGGTCTTCTGGAACTACTGTCAGTGCTTTTAGCCACTGAAACACATCTCTAGATCTAACATAGCTCATTTTCAAAAACCCTTCAGCCCTATTTGTAGAGAACTTTCTCAGTTGAACAGAGCTTCTTCTGTCTAAACAAGTCTCTGCATTAAAGGGGACTTTTTCTTTAGAACCTTTTAAAAATGGTGTGATGAAAACAAACAAGAATGAAACTAAAAGATCTCTGTAATTATCTAAGATTCTTCTTCCACAAGTGGCAGTGGTCAGCAACCTCAGGTCTCTAGGGAATACTGCCTACGTAGGTGTACTGTGTCCTGGATAACATTTCTTCTTTAAAGCAGACAAGTACCATATATTCTGCATACTTTAACATGAAAAAATGGCATATAGATTACCCTTTCCTGCCACGTAGTAAAGGGACCATGAGCTTTAACCCACCAGACAGGAAAACCCCAGGCTTAAATTAAAAATAATCTGGTATTGCCAAGCAAAGGAGAATAGCTACCACTATTCCAGTCCAGAAAGGCATTTGAGCTACACCATAGACTATAGACTGTATACACTATGCATTCTATCTGTACTACAAACCAGTTAGGTCTCGAATCAACAGATCACTATCCCAGGGACTTGTTACCAGTGTAAATTACTAGTATCCATCCCACCATGGATCAGAAGCAAAGGGACAGGCGCCCAGCAAAGCCAGTTTAAACAGCTTTCCTACAGATTCGATGCCTGGTCAAGTTTAAGAATCCTGCCAAGGAGGCTTTCTTATAAATGTGCATAAGGAGATACAAGAATATTTACCCCAGTGCTGCTGTAAAAACAAAGAATGCCCACCCTTGGGTATAATAAGTAAACTACAGTGTACTCACACAATGAACTACTCTATGTGACCCACAACACGTATCATCTCGAGAACACAATGCTGAGTGAGAACAAACACACTGTGAAAATGCATATTATTCATGTGAAGTAAGAGATCCACAAAACAATATTAAAAGAACATAACTGGTGTGGCTAGAGGAGAATAAGCTGTCACATCTCGGTGACAGTGTCTTCGTGTCAGGCTCTGAAAGACGGCATAAAAGGATTCAATTCAAGTCCAGCCATCATTCTGAAGAGGACAGTTCCTACACAAGATTCTTCTCTATGGTGTGACACTGAGACCACTTAATATGCCCAGAGGCTAAGCAAGGGTTTTCAAGTTTCTCTGAGTCAAAAAAAGACCAAGGCAAAAAGTGACACAGTGGCAACTTTTCTCTTAATCATAAAGTGTCCATACTCTAAGGAGGAGTTTTCTAGGACCCAGAGGAGTCCCTATCACAGGCATTTGCCATCTGCCTGGCAGCCCCTGCTTGCCCTTCTCTGTATGCATTGCCATGGGTACCGAGCTAGGTGTGCTCCCAGGGTTGCTCTTACTGATGACATTTTCCAGCTTGTTCTTAACCAGTGTTATTCTACAAGCTTCATGCAAGTATCCTCTGGACCTTACTGGTCCTGGTTGAGCTTCCAGATTCCAAGTCTGAATGTCTTGATGCTTCCAGCTAAGAAGTCTGATGGTAAAATGGTATCTCAGACTAGCATTCAAGTTCCTGTACAGTCTAGACCCAAAGGACTTTAACAGCAGATTCTCCATGACTCCTCCTCAACTGCTTCCTTGTGTCAGAAACAGAACTCAAGCCAGGCAAGGTGGTGCAGTACTTGGGAGGTAGAGACAGTGGCAGGTGGCTCAGAAAGTTCAAGGTCATCCTTGATTTGCTTAGAAGACTTTAAGTCATAAAAAGTAGAATTTAACTAAGGGAGTGCTGCCTCCATAATACATAATTAAAGGTAAGTAGTTTGCTAACCAAGTCTTTTAATGATAAACTAAATTTAGGATATAAGTAACTATTTGATCATCAAGATTAGGCTCCAGGCCGGGCCGTGGTGGCGCACGCCTTTAATCCCAGCACTCGGGAGGCAGAGGCAGGCGGATCTCTGTGAGTTCGAGACCAGCCTGGTCTACAAGAGCTAGTTCCAGGGCAGGCTCCAAAACCACAGAGAAACCCTGTCTCAAAAAACCAAAAAAAAAAAAAAAAGAGTGAAGATAGGCTCCATTTCCATAACAGAAATCACCCTAACTTAATGTCAACCATTATGCCCTACCCAGTATCAAAGAACATGCCTCTGACAGACAGCTCAAGAGGCAGCATAGGGTCACAACCACTGTCAAGTCCTGATGTGCCATAAAGCCCACAGTTCCCTTCTTGAGATAGCATAATTCTGCTAGATGGACAAAACGATCCCTGATCACAACTATTTGAAACAAACAAACAAACAGATTGGCACACTTAAAATAGTTCTGGCAATATTTTTACTGTGTAAATCTCTCATCTGCAAAAATTGCCAGATTTGCATCTTCTATCTCTGTTTACATTGTGTAGCCTGGGTGTGGGTGGGAATGGGGGGCGATTTAAGAATGACAGTATATGTAAAATGCATAAACCTAAGATGTATATATAAGTTAGTGGAATCTACTATTGAAGGCTGGCTCTTTGGGCACTAGCCATAGCTGGAAACACACTATTATTATTATTACTCTCCAAATGTGTAGAGTGACTTCTCAATGGGAAGACATAATATTTCTTTAACAGTGTCAGGAGAGAACTGATTCCAAGTTGTCCTCTGAACTCCACACATATGCCATGGTAATGCATATAAATTTTATTCCACAACAATAAAAAATTTACAATGTGAATGCTTCCTCTAGAAATCAGGCCATGAAAGCACACTGATGTGAATACTCTGACTCTCACTAGCAGAGAGGTGGGGAGGGAACTGGCACAGTAGAGCCAAGGCTACACTGGAGAAATGGCTGTGGAGCAAGTCAACAAATACCAAGATGCCTAGTCCATATGTCCCACACAGTCAGAGAGCCACGTGGGTTCTAGCTGAGGTAGTTGAGGAAGTCTAGACTAATAAAGCTTAAAAACAGTGTGAAATTTTCCCTTTCAGATCTTTATAGTACTGGGTTTATTTTCATTTAATGCTTAATGACTCTGAGCTGGACATTCTTTCTTCATTTTTTTGTTTTCTTTAGACAGTGTCTTACTATGTCCCTGGCTGGCTTCTCTCATGGCAATCCACATGCCACCGCACCCTGAGTGCAGAGGTGTATAAGTGTACACCACCATGCCCAGCTTTTGGTCATTACTTCTGTCCTTTCCAAAAAAACTGGAAATTGAGGTCTGCAGGGAAGAGGTCTCTTCCTTCTACTTGGAACATCCTTCCCTGAAGCCCCTTCCTTGGTTGGTATAAGCATTATTCATCTTTAAGTATAGTTCTATTCAAATGGTACTTCCTCCATAAGCTGTGAAGTGGCATCTAGTAACTCTAGTAACAAAGGACTCCAAGAGGCACTGGGGATGGAACTGAATGAGATAGCCATAGCTCTTGCTTATAGTTTAGACACAACTGAAGAGAGAAGCATTAAACAATAGTCACATCAATCATTCACAGCTGGTGCATATATGACAAAGACAAAGAACTTTACTATCCCCATGTCAGTCAACACATCTCTTCTCTGTACATTTATATTATGCTTTGTGTTTGTTTTTATCCAGAAGGCATGGAGAAATCTTCGATAATTATTATAGAATTCATAGTTAAATAATCAATTGGACTTGTATCAAAATATTCAATTAGTGAGCTAGGATATGATTTGAACTTGGAATCTCAAGCCCATACTTCTTCTCTACCAAGAATTTCCAAGAGACAGTAATGAGTTTAACTCACTGCTGGCCTGCTCCACAAACACTGAATAAAACTGTCTTACATGTGTACTTCATAAACTATGATTGCCTATAACATAAAAATTCATGTACATACAGGTATCGTACAATATGTGTATTATTAACATAACAGACACAGATATAGATGCTAATTAATGGCTTCATATTCCTTTCTTATCCTAATTACCATTTTAGGAACAAATCAACCCTCCCAAGGGACTCATTTTTAAATGGACTTGAAAACAGCCTGCTTTACGGAAGGAAATTAGCACCATCTAGAGGACAAAAGCCAGCAGTACATGAGGATGGAAAGAACAGCTTGTCTTTTTATTTTCTACTGGGCTCTGACGGACTTTAGCCATTAAAACTACATTTGCTTTTTACAAATCAAGTATTATTATTATTTAAATTTTAAGCAGGGGTCTAGAGAAATGGCTCAGTGTGGTTAAGAACACTGGCAGTTCTTTCAGAGGACCCAGGTTCAATTTCCAGTAACTGCATGGGAGCTCACAACTGTCTGTAACCCCAGTTCTGGGGGAATCGACACCCTCACACAGCCATATATGCAGGCGAAGCACCAATGCTCATAAAGTAAAAATAAATCATAAAAAATTTATGCCAGGAATATCAAGTTTGGGAATCTGCTATGTTGGAGGGAATGTTAATAAGCACGATCCATTAACACACGTTCCCTTAGCTCGCAGCCAGAGTTAAAGAGTCTGCACTGTATGCTGTAGGCCTCAGAGAGTCAAAGGCTTTTCAAAAAAGGGGAGACTAGCTTGCTGGCTTCCCAGAGGACGGATTCACTTGAAAAGCTGACAGCATCAGTGTCCACAGGGGAGGCTAAGATTTGAACTAACAAAGAAACTAAAAATGGTGGAGGACTGTCTCTGGGTTCAGGGATGGACATGATGTCTCTAAACTATGGCAGCTTTTCAAAATTGGTTGTTTCTTGTTATAACCTTTTTATTCTATTAAAAATCCATTGAAACCCTATTTAGTTCTTTTTGTTGTTGTTGTTGTTTCGAGACAGGGTTTCTCTGTGGCTTTGGTGCCTGTCCTGGAACTAGCTCTGTAGACCAGGCTGGTCTCGAACTCACAGAGATCCGCCTGCCTCTGCCTCCCAAGTGCTGGGATTAAAGGCGTGCGCCACCACTGCCCAGCCCCTATTTAGTTCTTAATCATATTCCCCTGCAAGATGGTAAGCTCCCTAATGACCTTTAGCCTGACTGTGATCTTTAAATTGAAAAATAAGTTTTAACTGAAAAACTGTGCATGTGAGTTCACTATTTTAATGACATAATTGCTGTTGGTCTAGACAACTACAAACACATTTTTCTCTAAAAGAGAAATTTAGTAAAATAATATTCTAATTATAAAACAAAGTTGTGATCATTGTATTGAAACTTGTAGCTGGTAAATAATCAATGTGAAAAGAGTTGGTTCTTTTTTACTGTATCTTTGCATAAAAACATTAACTCATCTACTATCTTCCCCTCTGAATTTAAAGTTCAAATCATCCTGCCTATTTGTAACAGGCACTGAGTTATAGATCAATCAAAAATTAGAATTTAGGACTAGGGGTCTTGTGTTGATACCTAGTGCTAGGCCAGAAAGTAAAGGAGGGGCTTACAGGTGTATATTGAAGACAAATATAAAATGACAAAACAAGGAGGATATATCTCACACAAATTAGCTGCTAATGTCTCAACTGTACTGTAACATTTTAGTATAGCCAAATGAATATATAGAAATCTTTGGTTGGTTGGTTTTTGTTGTTCTGGTTTGGATTTTTGTTTTTTTAAGATAGGGTTTCTTCTGTGTAGCTTTGGAGCCTGTCATGGAACTTGCTCTGTAGACCAGGCTGGCCTCGAACTCACAGAGATCCACCTGAGTGCTGAATGTGTGCCACTATGCCAGAAAAATACATAAATCTTATGCAAGATAAATTCCCATAATATTCTAAAGTACTCCAGTTATACCCCTGAACGCACTTCCAGGACCTTCACTTGTAATACCTAAAAATATCTTCCCTTAAAAAAAAACCTTCCCTTTAAAAGGCTTTATCATAAATCGCCTTTACTTGAATTATGAAGTCAATGAGTTGCAATAAGGATGATCCTTTAGCACAGAACCCTGAACATACACAGCTATGACACATACCTGAATTAAGGAAGAACTGAGGAGAATCACCATGAATGCCCACTGTGCCTGGCCCCAAGGAGTTAGACAGGGTGTTCACAAAGGAAAACACTCCACTCATGATTCCAAAGCCCAAGCCAGAAACTAAAGAGGAAAAAAAAAAACACCGTTAAGCCCTTTTCCTGTTATGTGTTCAGCTCAAATCTAATTTGCAAGGACTGGGGAATACTATTTCACTGCAGGGAACAGGGTGCACCTGCTGCTGCTGAAGCCTCAGCAAGCTGGAAGGCTAAGTGAGAAAGGAGAGGAGGAAAGGAAGCACAGGATATAACAGTCAATGAACAAAGGAGAGGCGCAGAAGAAAGGAGAGGAAGAAGAGGGTAATGTGCTGAAGACCCTGGCTTTGGTTTACTGTAGCCAGACTGTGAGGGAGAAAATGTGATTGCAAGGTGGGATCTCTGGGCCAGACTGAGCTAATTCTACATGAAGACCTAAATCCAGAGAGAGAGAGAGAGAGAGAGAGAGAGAGAGAGAGAGAGAGAGAGAGAGAGAGAGAGAGAGAGAGAGAGAGAGAGAGAGAGCGCGTGCACTTGTGCCTGCATGAGTGTATGTGTGCCACTTCTATTCCCTTTCTTCCTGACACCACAGGCTTTAACTTACCATAGGCCAGCAGTCGCATTGAAGGTGCTGTCTCCTCCTCAGGGTTTATGCTTTTCAAACCCTCACTGGCTCTTCTAAAGTAAAAACACAGTTTTTATTTTTATTTTTAAAGAGAAAGTCATATATCAAGCAGGTCACAGTACCCTTCAAAGCTAGATACTTAGTAAGGCTTCTGATCAGGTTACACTCCAGAATCCTTTTATGCAAAACCCAGCACATTTTTGATAACTGAAGTTAAACAAAATTTCTATCAACCTCATCTAGCTGATGTCTCCATAAAAGAAAAATTTTAAATATTAGTAACAAGCCAATAGGGGTTAAATTCAATAGGAATAATAGCAATGTTTTAATTTCTGGAATCAATAAGTATTTATCTCATTAGCCCGAGGGATCTACCACTCTGAATTTTCTTTTTCCCAAAGTCTTATGTATTTATCTCCAATTTACTGGCATTCTGTTGTATATTTCATTATGGCCATATTCTCCAAACCTTCATTCTGCTTTCCACTCCAAAGAACCAAAATCATTCTCATCATTCTCATCCTTTTAATAGCAGTTTGATTTTTTTTTTTTGGTGTAGTAACTAATCTCATGCCTCATACATGCTAAGAACATGATCTATCACTGAGTGACACCTGCAGCCTACCCCCAACTTTTTCCATTCTTCCCAATAGTGACTTATTAAAGTAGCTGATATACTGAGGAGCCAAATTCTCACACTGGTACTTAATCATAAGGTCTTTGATTCTAAAATATTTTACATGTTTAATTCATATTCACAATTCAGGAGCATATAAAGCCTGATGTTTCTATAATATCCTGTATGAAATGCTACCTTTAGGCTATAAATACCATAAAAGGAGAAACAAATACTTCTCAGTAATGTCAATCCAGCATGATCATATCCATACTTCTGTTACAGCCAGTTCACAAATATACCAAGAATCTGCCTCTGCCCCTCCCCCACCACCATGCAGACATATTAGAAATGATAGATGTGGTTTGTTATACTACTGTCTCTATTACTAGTCCTGCTTCCCAGAAACTCTGCAACCATTTAAAAGCCAACTGAAAGAATATTTAAATTAAATCAAACATACTGTATAGCATATATAGTAAAATAACAAAAGAACCAAAATACTTTGGAAGGACCTGTCAGTGCTGAAACAAAAGGAGATGGGATGAACTCTGAGGACAGACAAGTTAACCAGAACATACCTATTTCCCAGAGATTGCATTAATTTAAACTTCATGGAAGCCAGGTGTAGTGACTCATGTCTGCAATCCTAGCACTTAGGAGGCTGAGGTAGGAGAACTACTGTATGCCCAAGGCCAACCTGGACTATACAGTGAGACACTATTCAAAGGGCCAATGTAAAATAAAATTTAAAATCTCAAGGAACACATAGTTATTACTGTTGATCTATTCATTACATCAACACAGAATCCCTGCACAAATATAAGTTTCACTGACTATATTTGGTAATGTAAAAATCAACTAAAATAGCCATGTGAATAGTGAAAAGTGTCCTCTGCTTTTCTAGAATCAAAAGGAACGGTGTTGCCCATTTGAAAGCACTGTTTGACAGGAAGGAGGTAACCCAGATATTTATGTGACTGTCTTCATATTTCTCTGGCGCACCAACCAACTAAACTGTATAACTTTCCATGATAAAACAAACTTGCTTGTAAGAGGAATTCTGCTAAATATTAGTTCAACCTTATGAGTTATTCAAAAGTAGTAATCTACAGCAACAAACGTACCCATGTAGTTTAATCGATACATTTGGGAGAATTTTTGTTTTGTGTAAGTTTTTTCTCTCTATTAAATACAGTGTGGTACTGCAATTAGGAATATATTAAGTTTCTAGGCATGGTGGCTCATGTCAGAAATACCAGAAAGGTCAGAAGTTCAAAATCATTCTCAACTATATTGAGTTGGAAGTCATGTGGGGACACATGAGACCTCCACTTTTAAAATAACTTTTAAACTTTTAAAATAAAATAACAAAGCAAAACCACAGAAAAACCCAAATGGTGTATTACTAGTCAGATCTCTTGATAATCTCACTCTCATCTCTACACTCAAAAAAGAGTAAATGAGTCAGAGGTAATAGAGTAGCCCTTTAATCCCAGCACTTAGGAGACAGAAGCAGTTGTGTCTCTGTGAGTTTAAGGCTGGCCTGACTTACATAGCAAGTTACAGGCCAGTCAGTGTTATATAATGAGATGCTAGCTTATAAAAATAAACAGATAGATAATAAAATAATTTATCAATAATTTTGAAAAATTTATATTGTAAAAATTGGAACTTTCAATTTTTGTTCTTAGGAATCTGGTAAAAAATACAACAGAATCTCCACTTCAGTAAACAGAAGAGACATCCTGCCTAGCACAGCCAACCATCTACTCTGTTCACCAGGAACTGACTGGGAAACTCATCACGTTTTGTACTTTCAACTGTCAGTGCTGCAACACTTCCTCTCACAAACTCTGCAACATAGAATGAGGGAGTTTACTCAACTTCTGAATTCAGGTAGTTAAGATATTTGGAGTTTTTCCTTTTGCTTATTTGTTTGTTTGGTTTTTGAGATAGTCTCATGTAACTGGCTGGCTTCAATATTATTATGGAGCTAAGATTATAGCTGTATACAACATGCCCATTTTATTAGGTCCTGGGGATAGAGCCCAGAGCTTCATGTTTGATAGGTAACTATTCTCCAACTGAGTTACACCTTGTAGCCCCTCATACATCACTTTAGAAATTTTACAAATCAGAGTGACAATTTAAAAAAAAAACAACAACAACTATAGCTAGGCTGGGCTGGAGAGATGGCTCAGTGGTTAAGATCATGGACTGCTCTTTCAGAGGACCTGGGTTCAATTCCCAGCCACCACATGGCAGCACACAGCTGTTTGCAAATCCAGTTTCAGGTCATCCAACATACTCATACCAATGCAGATTAAAAAAAAAAAAAACTGAAGCAGGGATGTGGGGGTGTGGAAGGAATATAGGTCAGTGGGGGAGGAGCAAACAAACCCACAGTAGGGGTTACCTTACCTTTTTTCTTTTCTATAAATGTTAAGATTTTTCTAAATTTACTAAATATGTACTTGTATTATAATAAAACTAAATTAGTGATGTGGGATGTCCTTCTGCATGTGTGTTGCTTTTATTGGTTAATGAATAAATCTACTTTGGCCTATGGCAGGGCATAATATAGCCAGGTTGGAAGGGATATAGAGAGAGAGTAGGTGGAGTCAAGGAGATGCCATCTAGCTGCTGAAAGAGACAGATGCCCTGGAACCTTACCAGTAGGCCACAGATTAATAGAAATGGCTTAGTTTAAGATGTGAGAGTTAGTTAATAAGAAGCCTGAGCTAATAAGCCAAATAGTGTTGTAATTAATATAGTTTCTGTGTGATTATTTGGGTCTCGGTAGCTAGGAAATGAAAGAGCAGCCTCCATCTACAAATTAGGTACAAAACTTTCAATTCAAGCAAAATAATTCTATGCATTTTAGGAATCACACAGTAGTTTTAGGGAACAAACAGTTACCAAAGACATCTGCTTTAGGTAGTTAACAGTTATATTTTAGGCTACATAACTTAGAATATTTTAACATTGGTATGGCCACAAGCCAGTTTCTTATTCTACAAAGCCTTGTCATGCTGGCAGTTAAATTCATTCACCGAACAAACAAACAAAAACAAACATTCATGTATCTTGAAAATGTTAATTTAAAAGTTTGATAAACATCCACATTCTATGTTATAGAGTTTATGAGAGGAAGTGTTGCAGCACTAAAGGTTCTTACTATTAATATTCATTCATTAATCCATTCATGAGGAAGGAACTATTCCTCACTCATGAAAAAAAACTTATTTGGCTGCAATGGTTAAAAAGCAAATTTTAGCCCTTAAACTAAAAGGCTCAATTTTTGACAAAACCTATTTTTGGCAGTGGGATATTTAGGTAAAATTTGATTTAAGCCAAATCTTTATCTTAATACAGTGTAGTATAAGAGTTTGATTTAAATGTATCCACTTACATGTTAGTTATTAACAACATGCTACAAAAAAATTGTCAAAATTCTCAAGCTTGCTTTAGCATGGCTATATAATATCCAACAGTGGTAAATTCTCCAGGAATCTGAGAAATGTATTTGTTTTGTTTTGGTCTGGGGATTTTGTTTTTGTTTTTTGACATAGGATCTTATGTTAATCAGGTAAGCTTTAATTTGGAAGTAACTAAAGGTACTCCTGAACTCCTGATCCTTTCAGTCCCATCTCTCAAGTACTAGAATTACAGACCAGGTCTGACGGGAAATTTTTGTGAATATACCAAAAGCTTATTAAATATGAATTCCGCAATGCAAACAAAGGCATTTATTAATGCATGTTTCTTTGACCAACTGATTGCAAATTTCCCAAACATCCTTTAAGAAGAACAAGAATAGCTTTCCTAGGAAGCCAAAGAGGTTTCTCTGAACTTCTCAGCTTGAAAACATGCAAAATATCAGGACTCCCTCTTCACACAGTGCCATTCTCTTACTAGTCTCACTCGAAAAGAGGACCTGCTTTCAGTTTATAGTCTCTGGGAAACTCCAGTCGTGCCAAGGAAAGGTTGTTGCTTCATGTAAAAAACTGAAGACATGGGCAGGAAAGAATAGCAGGTACCACATCTAAACCTTGGCACTCTGGTGAAGCCAGGTCTTGAAACAGAGGTTACTAAGCCTATGTCCAAAACTGTAATACCGTATTAGAAATTAAGATTTTTCAAAATTAAAACTATCATCTAATGTCACAAAGGCACCAGGAGACAGGGACAATGGCAATAGAAAACTTAGTATTCTATGAGGCTGAGTTATTTAGAACACAATGTCTGGTCAAAGATCACCCTGTAGTGTAAGCATTTGTGGAAAAACAGGCACCAAGAAGAGGGGGCCTGTCCACTGCCAAAGGCAGAAAAGGGCTTAGGAGACACAACTATGCCTTTGAAGAACTGAGGAGTGCTAAGACTTGACAGGAACCCTGTGACAATCACCATGGCACAGGCCAAAAGTAGAACCGTTTTGATTACCCTCACAGTAATAAAGTTACATTTTAGGTTGTAGATTGAGGGTTGGGGTATGAACTGTTTGCCTCTCGTGTGCAAGATCCTGGCCTCAATCCCTTGTACTTTCAAATTAAAACAACAATAAATTCAATCTTAGGATGGTAGTAACTAATTTCTATATACCAGAAACATTCAATGCAATTTTAGATGTCTTCCCTGTAAAAATGTAAATGTTACTTTTTGTTTCTTTGAAAGTTCTGGGCTCAAGGTCTTTTCATTTAAGTAGCTGAGGCTACTGGGTGGTGGCCACCATGCTCAGCTTTAAATGTTACATTTTCTCTCTCTTTGCTTTTATTTCTTTTACTTTTTAAAAAAGAATACTGGGGAATCAAAACCACCATGGCTCTGAGCATGCTGACATGGGCCCCACCAACTAAGCTCCATTCCCAGTCCTTAATATTACTTTCAATATTTACTTAATGCTCTTAGTTTTCCCCAGAGACTAGCAATTGGGATTTTAAACCTTTTCAAAACAAATCTTTTTAAAGTTACATGTAGTTGTTACTTATTTTCTGCATGTGCATGCGGGTGAACACAGTAATGCTAAATGTAAAGGTCAGAAGACAACCTGAGGGAGTCTTTTCTGTTCTTCTATATGGACCCGGGGATTGAACTCAGGTCATCAGGCTTGGCGGCAAGCAACTTTATTCGCTGAACTATCATCATGCTAGGAACCCAAAAGCTATGATTTTTTTTTTTTGCTTCTAAGCAATGGCTTCCTGGTGTTGAATTTATAATAAAAATTACTTCATTATAAAACAGATATCTAATATCTATTACTAAATGTTTTTTAGTCCAGAATAATAGTATATTAGGAAATCAAATTGCCAGAAGCCCTTCAAGGTGCTGTTGCTGAGGCTCACATTTTATCCATGAAATCCATGGAGAGTCTCAGTGACCAAAATGAAAATAGGACAGAACATTCATCACTCCACTGAGCTTTACTCCACAAGCAAAGCTGATCTCATGACTTACTGAAATCACATGGGCTTCTGAGTACAAGCTGTGTCTCAAATTAGTGGTTTCCTATGAGGTCCTCATGGGTCTGACAGATGACCACATCTTATCCACAAAAGGTAGCTCATCTCTTAGGCTCTTTAAAAAAAAGTGTATTTTTTTTTTCATTTTGCAGACTTGAAACTACAGAAAATGTTTTAAAAATGATTTTTTTTCTCACCAATAGTCAAAACAATGGAAGGCATAATCTCCATAAGAATAATGTATTTCAGGTGGTAGGAGGGAAATATGACGTCCAAATGGGAAGGCTCTTGGTTGTTCCAGTAAGTATTTCTTGGAGCTATTTTTCTTCAAGGTACTTCTCATCTTATATTTGTTTATTCATTTCTTGCCGTTTCCTCCCATCATAAGCTTCAGGAGGTCAGACCTTCCTAGGTCTCACTATACTCTGGCTGTCCTGGAACTCACTCTGTAGACCAGGCTGGCCTCCAGAGATCCTCCTGCCTCTGCCTTCTGAGTGCTGGAATTAAAGGTGTGCGGGACAGAACTTCTGTCTCTTTACCACCTTTGTAACTCCAGTCTCTACAAAGTGTCTGACACTGGGCAAATTCTCAAGAAACACTTTTTGGGAGGAAGGAGAAGAAAGAGGAAAAGAAAAGGGGAGGATATGAGGGCAGGTAGGGAGGCAAAGCAGGTTTAAATACTCCATATTTTCAGGGTAGAAATGTGCCAATCACCAAATCATAACTCAAGTCTAACTGGGAAAATAAAGCAAACATTTAACTTACTTTAACAGTCTATAATATGCGAGTCTGAACAGTTCTTGGATACAGACAGAGAGCAACACTCCGAAGATGAGCAGGTACTTCTGAATGGGTCCATCTTTGTTGTCAGTAATGACTCTCACTAGGTACCAAAAAACAGACGAAAGCAGAAGAGATACCAACCAGAAGAAAGCACTGGAATGTAGAAGAAAAAAAGCCACAAATTAGCAGAAGCATAAGATTGGTAATGACTTTAAATCTGCTGGAGAAGAAACAAAGATCTTGATTTTTTTTTTAAGTTGGAAAAAAAAATCCTCGAAGCGGTGTTCTAGATCAGCAATTGCTGATCAATGATCTATTTCCTCCAAGTGAGAAAAATAGTTCAAGAGGGGCCAGAGTGCGCAACAAGAGTGTGCTCGGTGACCCTGTCATGTGCACACTAAGAGACTGTGTCATGGACTGGCTAAGTGAAACTTGGCAGCTATTTTTTCTAAGCCATGTTTTGCCTCTTTGGTGTGCCACAGAAATATACAATCCGTCACTCTTGCGATTTTCATATCCTCAAAATTCTCCAGAAACTATGGATTTAATGGTTAGATATCTGTAAAGATGTGTCTTTTTTTTTCTGACAGAAAACAAAGATCTAAAACCTGCATTAAATAGCATGCGCCATGTAAAATTCAGAAGCCGCAAACCCGTGAGCTGGTGTAGCTGTTTTCCAGGCCCGGTTCTTACAATCTCTCCTGCGGATTTTAATGACGACAGCAAGCTTTATAAGCCGTTGGATCAACCGACTCTATTGTTTTTAAATTACAATAGCGAAGGAGCACTATTCAAAGTGCTCAGTCCAGTCAAAAAGAAGCTCAGAAAGGCGGGAGTCCCTGGCCTAACTAGCTGGCCTGACGCCAAGTCCCAGAAACGGTCTTAGCAGGTGCAAAGACCGAGGCCACATTCACCAGCAGAGTTCGGTAGTCACCAAGCTCTCCGGAGGACGTGCCTCGTGGGGTGATGCTGCGTTTTCTCGGGCTTCCACCCTCGGCTGCACCCCCATCATCACCCAGGGGTCTACGAGAAAAATCTGAGCCCAAACCCCTCACAGGCATTCTGAGTCCGAGGATGGGGGTTGAGGAGGGGTGGGCTACTGATCCCCAGCTGACTTAAATGGCAGAGGGTGAGAACGATCTTCGGTGCCCCGGGGCACCGGGTGTAAAGGGACCCCTACAGAAAGACGAAGGCTCCATACACGAATGCCTCTGTGTTCCCACACTTAGCCCACGGAAGCCCAGGCGCGCCTGCTCAGTCCGCCCTTCTCGGAGCCTCCCCTCCCCTCAGCCCTGGCAGTCCCACAGGGGGTGGTGACCCCGAGGTCCTGGGAACCCGGGCTCAGGAGGGAGCCGGCTGCGACAAGGACTCTGGGCAGTCTCACCCGGCGATGAGGAAGATGACGCGCAAAGGGTCGGTGGCGATGGTGAAGACGTAGAGAGAGAGCGCGGGCCCGAAGGCGATGAAGGCGCAACCGAAGAACACGGCCGCCGTCATGACGACCGCAGAAGCCAGTCCAGGGAGCCTGAGGGGACCGAGGAGCTTAGGGCGCTGTCTTAGCGGGTTGCCGGGCGGGGCCGGCTTGCCAGGTGCTCGGCGCTCCTTCAGAGCAGGAGGCGGGGCCTCGAGGTGCTCTATAGCAAGGCGGGGCCGAGGGCGGGGCTCGGGAGGCGGGGCTTTGAAAAGCTCCACGAGGCAGAGCCGGGAGTGGGGCGGAGCTTGGGAGGCGGGGCCTCGAGCTGCTCCACAAGGCCGAGCCGTGGGCGGGGCGGAACCCGGGAGGCGGGGCTTCAAGCTGCTCCTTAGTTTGTCGGGGGGGGAGGAGGGCGGAGCTCTGGAGGCGGGACCTCGAGATGCCCCACAAGGCCGAGCCGTGGGCGGGGCGGAGCCCGTGAGGCGGGGCTTTGAAAAGCTCCACGAGGCAGAGCCGGGAGTGGGGCGGAACTTGGAAGGCGGGGCCTTGAGCTGCTCCGTAAGGCACGGTCGTGGGCGGGGCGAAATCCGGAAGGCGGGGCCTCGAGCCTTTGTCGGGGGGCGGAGCTCTGGAGGCGGGACCTCGAGATGCCCCGTAACGGGGCCGAGCCGTGGGCGGGGCGGAACTCGGGGTAAGGAGGCTGGACTGTGCTCTGCTCTTGGTCGAAGAGGCGGGCCCGAGGCGGAGCTCCAGCTCCGGAGATAGTTCCGAGTGGTGTCCAAAAAAAAAATAAAATAAAATAAAAAAAAAAAAAATAAAAAAAAAATAGCGGTTCCTCTAGGGGATCTGCTCAGCGCAGGGGGACCGGCCTCGAGGGGCTTCGCTTGCTATCAGAGCTGTGGCACCGCCGGGAAGGGTGAAGTGTGCTGGCAGGCAAGGGCAGGGGCGCAGCCTCCCTGGACTCCAAGTGCTGTCAGATGCGAGGGGGAGGGGGGAGGGAAGGACGAGCATTGAGCTGTGCTGGCCTCAGGGCACGCGGGGCTGCAGGGCGGGGGCGGAGATGGGGAGGGTCCTTCAAGATTTTCTGGAGCAAAGACAGTTGCATTCGGGCTGAGCAGACTTTTTGGTGTGGGGAGATCCAGCGCCTGGACCTCCGAGGAGCGATGAGCTGCCCCAAGCCTCAGACCTAGCAGTGCTCCAGATCCTTATTCCAAAGTGTGGCTCACTGGGGACTTATAGACGTGCTCAGAGTCCTCGTCCCCACACTGTCACTGGCGTCGGCAGGCTGTGAGGTGGCCTAGAAGGCTACTAGCTCACTTTTGTGCTGCAGGTCAACTGAAATAAACAGCAGGACAGAAGCAAGGTTCCGTTTTTTTAAAAGTACATTTTCCCATATGCACAATTGCAGGAACATCATGCACCATCATATGTTAAAAAACAAAAAATCCAGACTGGCGTTACCGGTATGACCAAGGTGACGGAATTGTTCCCGATGGAAAAGGGATGAAAATAGTGATGAATTGTTCTGACAAGTGGTTTCCTTGCCACTAACTCCTTATTTTCGAAAAGTAAAGTTGTTTTTGAAGGCATTCTCTAAGTCTGAATTTAAATTTCAGGACAAACAGCCACAGCTGTGTTAAAGATTGATATTGACTAATTAATTGCAAATGCATGATTGTGGAGAATTGTAATATTGTACGGAGCCAAATTATCTTGAGCGCTCTAGCGCACTGCTATCCATTGCCCGCCTCTGTGTCTAAAGTCCTTGTGACTATCACATGACGTTTTTTTTCCATCATATTAACTACTAGTCTCCACCAACCCAGAAGCTAACAATGTCATCAGAGACCTGTAGCAGAGATTTCCCTGCTTTGCTGTGTATCTGAAAGGGGCCTTGGTTTATCGCTTTCTTTTATTTTGTAACTACAGAACCTTCATGTGCCCATTTCCATGTGGGAACACAGTATTTGGGGCAATCCTCCTAGGCAAAGATGACTCAAAATTGGCTCCAGAATAAACAGTTGTTTAAACCCTTTGAAATGAGAGCTGTGTTTTGCTTGGACATTCCCATAGCAACAGCAGCATTGCCTTGCTATGTACTCTAACACAAGCTCATTTCACTGGCTCATCTTTCTCTTTAAATGTAAACCTCTAGAGGGCAGAGATGTTATTTCTCAGTGCCTAGAAGAAACTCACTAAACTACTTTTTCAAGGGATAAAATGATTTTAGAAATGAAACTTAGAAGCATCTGTAATTTAATAATTTCTGAGAGGTTTGAAAATATTATAAAGTCCCCTGGTCATTCATCTTTAAGATCCAGCTTTATTCATGTTAAGTGAGAAAAATATCTCATGAGTCACCTTGAGGACCAAACATGGCCCACCTGAACATTCCTTAATATCCACTGCCATAGTCTGAACGTGAACTGCCCCCTTCAGGCACATGTGTTTGAACACTTGGTCCCCAACTGGTGGCACTGTTCGTGAAGGCTGTGGAAGCTTCAGGAGGCAGAGCACTGATGGAGGAAGTGCTTCGTTAGGGATGGGCCCTGAGGTTTTGTAACCCAATCCCATTTCCTGTTCATGATCTGCTTAGTGACTGTGGGTGCAATGTGACTGGCCGCTTCCCCTCTTCAGCCTTGTCTTCCCCACCCTGATGAAATGTAAGGCCCTCAACTGGAGCCAAAATCAACCCTCCCTCCATGGCACTGCTTGTTAAGTACTTTGTCACAGCCACGAGAAAAATAACTAACATATCCATCACAGATAGTTCTTGGAAAGTATCAGTCAAAAGACAGACTGGTAGGAAAAGCTGGGGACTGACAGAAGGCATTTTGCTTATCACCTAAGAAAATAGGTATTTACCATCTTTGCTACCTTAAACAGTCACAAGTACAACCCATTTACTCCACTGAATACTTTGTCTTTAAAAAAAAACAATTTTATTATTATTATTATTTTGAAACAGTGTTTTACTGTGTAGCTCTGGCTGGCCTGGAACTTACTATGTAGACTAGGCTGGCTTTGACTCATAAAGAGCCGCCTGCCTTTACCTCCTTAGTGATGGGATTAAAGATATATGCCATACTCAGCCTTATTTTTATTATTTTGAACTATGTGTAGGTGTGCATTTGCATATGGGTATGTACATGTGAGAGTGGATACCCACGGAGGACAGAGGAATCTGACCTCCTGGGACTGGAATTACAGATGGTTCTAGGAACCACACATGGATCCTCTGGAAGAATACCAAGTACTCATAACAACCAAGCCATCGCTCCAGCCTGTACCACTTCTTTTTAAAATTATCTCATCCTGTTAAAACTGGTGTGCAGACAGAATGTTTTGCATTGACCTAGAATCAAAGTTATCAATGCAATTTTGCTACTTCAGTTCCAAGCAGAAATAGCTCCACAGAAGTGTAATATACTTGTCTTGAATATAAATTGAAGTTTCTCCTATACATATATTATTAAACTCTTGCTCTCTTTTCTTTGAGATAAAGCCTCATTCTGTATTCCAGGTTGGTCTTGAACTTACTGTGTAACCCAGCCTAGCTGCTCAAGTTTCCCTGGTGCTGGGATTATAGGCATGAATCACTTTGCCCCGCAATAGAACTTCCATTTGCCTTTTCTTTTGGCCAGCTCTAGTGTTCAGACTGATTCAGCATGTTCAGGTTTCCTTTGACTCCTAGGCAGATGGAGGTAGATTTAAGATTCAATTATACCAACTATTATTTCTGTGTGTGTGGTTGTTGTAATTTCTTTCTTGGCTTCAAAATAAGATTCTTTCCCCCACGTTTTAATGATTTCATTACCACTATTTTAGCCAGTCCCTACATCTCTTCATTAGAGCCACTCATTTTAGAAGCATAGAAAAGCCTGTATGGCGGTGCACATCTGAAATCAGAGTACTTGGGAGACAGGGAGAGGGGGGAAGACCTTGTCTGGAGAGGGAGAGAAATGAGAGCAAACCTTTAAAATCATTTTAATTACATGGTATTTTTTTACTCAGTGTGCATTCATGTGTGCACATACTTGCCATGGCCTGCACACATGTGGAGGTCAGAACTCTCAGTCAGTTCTCTCGCTCCACTGTGTGGGGCTCAGACTCAAATTCAGGTTGTTGGGCTTGGCAGCAAGGGTCTTTATCTGCTCAGCCATCTCACTGGCCCAAGAGCAAGCATTTTAAATTACAACTATCACCTCACTCTCTTCTGTGCCTTGTTCATTCTGACGACTTTTGAAGATCACTATTTTAAATTTTCTTAAATATGTACTATGTGCCAGGTGTCTTACAGAAGAACACTGATTGAAAACTAAAGGTTCAGTCCCCGTACTCCTTCAGGAGCTACAAGATTAGGGCTAACTGGGGGGCTAGACGGGTGACAGTGCTACTTACTACCACAAAGAAAAAACAGTTCTCCCTCCTGGGCCTGGGTTTGCTGGTAGTTACTGAGGAGTGGAGAGGACGGTGCTGGGGACCAGAAATGGTGTCGACTGAAGGGCAGAAATCTAAGAGGACATGTTTTTGTTTGTTTTGGGGGGGGCTGCCACCCAGTTCCCAAATAAATCACATACAAAAAGAGAAACCTATTACTACATATAAATGCCCAGCATCAGGTTGACTTGTTTCTAGGCAGCTTTTCTTATCATTAATTATCACATCTATCTTTTGCCTCTGGGTTTTATCTTTGTTTCTGTATGCCTTTCTTTACTTCTTTCTTCGTGTCTGGCTGTGTAGCTAGGTGGCTGGCCCCTGGTGTCCTCCTCTCCTTGTTCTCTTGCTCCTCATTTCCTTCCAGATCTCTCCTCCTATTTATTTTCTCTGCCTGCCGGCCCTGCCTGTCCTTTCTCCTGTGTTGCTATTGGTCGTTCAGTTCTTTATTAGATCATCAGGTATTCTAGACAGGTGAAGTATCACAGCTTCACAGAGTTAAACAAATGTAACATAAAAGAATGCAAAACATCTTTGCATCATTAGAACAAATGTTCCACAGCATAAGCAAATGTAACACATCTTAAAGTAATATTCTACAACAAGGACATAAGAGGCTAGGGGTAGAGATACATTTCAAAGATGTATTAGTGGCTTGTTGCTGCTACACCAAATGTCCACAAATGTTCTGGTCAAAGCAGTACAAGCAGATACTCTTATAGAGGTTGTAAGTACACAAAGTACCTTGGAGGATAACACCAAGGTGTTGGGGGAGGCTGGCTCCTCTA